GTTTTAGTTAAAACTTTTTTCCGCAAGCCTCTACGATGGATAGGTTCCCTGATACAGTACCTCGCGTTCTTAGTTGGCCATCCTGTACAGAGATATCTATGATGTGTGAAAAATGTATAATAAGTGAGTAGGACTACTAATGTTGGGAGAATATAAACGTAACAGTATCAAAAAGTTGAGATAACCCCTTGCAACCCCCACCCCCAAGTTTTTTTACCTCTTTTTTTTTCAAAAGCGAATGTTAAGCGATTTTTACTTTTTTGTTTAAGGCCTATTTCTCTGCCGCCACTGAACTGATTTTAAAAAACTACAAAGCTTTGGCGTACTTGGCATAATAGTAACATTGTGTAAAAATTTCATCGATATCAATTCAATTCAATTCAATTCAATTCTTTATTTGTGTTAAGTACACCAGCGTGTTTACACAAGTCAAAAGAAAAAAAAATTAATACAGAAAGCAGTCTGACAAAAGACTGATGTTCAAATTAGACAGAAAAACATCAACTTATTACATTATGATTCAATAAAAGCAGATACAGCAAGTCCATATAAGTTGTAAAAACAGGACATATATACGTACATAGATACACGCATATTCATTTAACCACAATACGTATGTTTACTTCTACACACACACACACACATATATATATATACACATATACACATATATACGTTAAAATGGTAACACATATGAAATGTTGATATAACCAGATGACTTAGTAGAAAGTTCAAGGAGCCTAGAGTATCCCAGGTGTAGGAACACTGTTATATTTGCTAAGAATCCGACAAGTCTGAAAAATTATTGCTCAAATACTTGTTGATAGAGTAAAATGTTTTAGTTTAGATAAGCATTAATTTTATTTTCAAAAACTTTCGCATCCAGTTTCTTTATATGGTCTGGCCACAGGTTATAAAAAACTATCCCATAATAGTTTGTGCCATTCCTGATGGTTTGGAGACGGCTATGAGGTACTAAGATTTTATCCATATTTCTGGTTCTATAACTGTGGACATCACTGTGGGTAGTATATTGGCTCAGGTTAGTCTTTATATAGGGTGACTTCGAAGTTGAGTCATTTATTTTAACAGTGAGTAGATCTGATCAAAATAAATGCTTTTTTCCTTTAACATTTTTCTGGTAAAATTAAAGTAACAAAGTTATAGCCCTTTAGAAGTTTGAGTACCGCCCTGCCTCAATAATAATATTATGTGCTCGTGTTTTTACTACAATGTACAATTTTATTCAGTTGTTTTCCGTCAATGTGTCAGTCGGTAACGCGTGAGTGAATAGTGGTGTTTGTTGCGTGGCTCAAACGAAATAAAAAATGCACATGTTTACGAAAATGCTGAACTTGTGGACATGATTCCTATTTACGGGGGGGGGGAGCCTTTATGCGGATCGGTTTCCCAATCGAGTGCAACCAACCCCTCGTGCCTTTGTTCATGTAGTACAAAGGGCTCGTGAATCAGGTGACTTAAGACCTCACAGGGGAGGGCATGCCGGTGCTCCAAGACCGCACGATCAAATACAGGTCCGCACTGAAATACTTGTCGGGAGGATACTTTATAAAACAAGGTAACATTTTTTTTAATGTTTATTTTTATTTTTACACACATATTTTGGTTTATCTTCCCTCTACAATCATTATCTGAAAATTAATGACTCAACTTCAAAGTCACCCTATATACATCAGACATGTGAAGATGTAAAGAGAAGGTACTGTAATGATTTTCAATTCTATGAAAGCTTCCTTGCAAGGTTCCGTGTATTTGAGGACAGCAATGTACCGCAAGCAACGTCGTTGTAATCCAAAAACTTTTGACGAATGGGCCGAGTGACCCAAGTTTAACAATGCGTATGAAATTCTTGATTGAAAGTAGGAATAATATGTTAGAAGAAGAACTGACTGAGAGACATTTTGTTTCAAGTTCCTTATCAAATATATATATTTTGATAGTGCATTGAGAACATGGATTACGTGAGTTTCCCACGACAAGTGTTCATCAAGGTAGACTTCTAGTAACTTCACGGACTTTAGTGTATTAGTGTCGTGCTGCCTCAAGCTAAGAATAATCATCTGAGACTTGGTTTCATTGATGGTCAACTTATTAGCGGTTAACCAGTTTGCTAGTTTTCTTTTATGAGCCTCAGAGTCGAATATCAATGAGGCTGAAGAGGCATTGCTATTCATCAAGGTAGTGTCATCAGCGAATAGGATTATGTTATTATCCTCATTATAGTTAGTCATATCATTGACGTAAATTAAAAATAAAATTGGTCCCAATACCGAGCCTTGCGGTACCCCGTGAGCAGCGACTAACTGTGAGGATGATGAACCTTTAAAGAATACAAATTGGCGTCGATTACTCATGTAAGATTTAATATAATAAAAAGGGAGCTTTTCCAACAGGATGTCGTGTTGAACACAATAAAAAGCTTTGAACAAGTCCAACAAACATGCTGCGCCATATAGGTTGTTTTCAAAAGTCTCGTTCACACACTGAATAAAACTGTTAATAGCTGATGTGGTAGAACTATTTTTCCTAAAACCAAACTGTGTTGAACAAAATAAATTATTAGCCTCTAAGTATTGATTAATTTGATCTTTCAACAATAATTCCAAAATTTTTGCAAAAATAGGTATTAAGGAAATGGGCCTGTAGTTGCATAACTCTTCAGTATCCCCTTGTTTGAAAATGGGTATAATTTTAAATAGTTTAAAAAATCCGGAAAAGTACTACTTTCTATACACTGATTGAATAACTTGGTTAGAGGATATATGATGAGATTTTGCAAGGTTTTGACAATCCTGACAGTACTCTTTGAGTTTTTTAGTTTATTTATGGCAGTTCTCACATCATGATATGAAACTCCCCTGAATCGAAAGTGTGAACTATGAGTAGGATGATTCATATAATGCGATGGAGAAACATCGGATGGGGTAATTTTATTTAAAAGTTTTTGTGGGATATGGGTAAAAAAAACGTTGAATTGATGTGCTGTGGGAGATGTTGAGAAGTCCTGGTTGTGTGCGTTCGGTTTAACATTCTTTATGATATTCCAAGCAGCATGTTGTCTGTTTTTGGATTTATTAATGTAGTCATCATTGGCTTTAATCTTAGCTTTGACAATTTCTTGTCTGTAACTGTATTTAAATTGTTTCAAGCAGTCCGTACTAACTAAAGTAACATCGTCTTTATGAAGCTCTGTTAGGAAAGTCAAAGTCTCTCTCATAGATCTTATATGATCATTGAACCAATACACATTACAGGAGCTTTTATTATCATTAACAAGTCGCGATTTTATAGGAAGATGTTGATTGACCGAAATTCTGACAATAGATATGAATTTTTCAATTTTATATTCGATCGTCGTACTTTTTTCATTAACAAATTCGAAAGATGTTGATTCCATATCATTGTAAAGTTTGAAAAGGCCGCTGTTTGTTATAGGTCTATAATAGAGTTTCCTACGTACTTTCGGTACATGTGATAAATTAAAAGTATAGTCAAGCGCTAAATGATCTGGATAATGAGTATCAAAAACATTAACGCTATTTTCTGAGTCTTCGTAGTTTATAAAGATGTTATCTAGACAACTTGAGTTTCTTGTATTTTGACTAGCTATTGGAGTCCATCCAATAAACGACAAAGTTTCATAATAAAGTATTCAAAATTACCATCAGGAGATCGATACAGTGAGATTAACTGAAGATCATTCACATTTACTCCGGCCGCCTCAAAGTGTAGTTCTTCTGACAGATTCAGAAGGTTATCTGATACAGGTACGGCATTAACATGATTTGCTATATAAATAGCCAAACCACCACGAATTTTCACATACCTACAGAAACTAGATACAGATCTAAAACCAGAGATATGATAATAGGATAACTCATCTTTTCTTAACTAGTGTTCATTTATAGAGAGCATTGTACAGGGTGACTTTGAAGTTGAGTCATTAATTTTCAGATAATGATTGTAGAAGGAAGATAAACCAAAATATGTGTGTAAAAATAAAAAAAAAATAAAAAAAAAATTACCTTGTTTTATAAAGTATCCTCCCGACAAGTATTTCAGTGCGGACCTGTATTTGATCGTGAGGTCTTGGAGCACCGGCATGCCGTCCCCTGTGAGGTCTTAAGTCACCTGATTCACGAGCCCGTTGTACTACATTAACAAAGGCACGAGGGGTTGGTTGCACTCGATTGGGAAACCGATCCGCATAAACATGTGCCATTTTTTATTTCGTTTGAGCCACGCAACAGACACCACTATTCACTCACGCGTTACCGACTGACTCTGACTGTATACAACTGAATAAAATAATTGTAAAAACACCGTTCCAAAGTCTTTCGCTTTTTTGTTTCCGATGCGATGAACCGATAAGGCGGATTATATCCGTTGTTGCCAAACACGAGCACATAATATTATTATTGAGACAGGGCGGTACTCAAACTTCCAAAGGGCTATAACTTTGTTACTTTAATTTTACCAGGAAAATGGTAAAGGAAAAAAACATTTCTTTTGATCAGATCTACTCACTGTTAAAATAAATGACTCAACTTCGAAGTCACCCTGTATATTTATTCTTTTCATACAGTGATTCGATGATTCCTCACTTACAGCGAACACCTTGTATATTTAGATGTAATAGTCTAAAGAGCACGTTACTGTTTTTTACTGTTTTAACAGATCGTGGTTTTGGTATTGTATTATTCTGTTGTTTATCTTCCCTAATGGGTGCTTTACTTAAGAAAAAACTGTTTTTCAGACTTGTCGGGGATGTTGATTTGTACAGTTTTCAAAGGCCATGTATTGTAATACATTTTTTAATTGTACAAAAATAATATCCTTTACATGCTGGATGATTGTCATTTTTGATCCAGTAACTCTGATGTCATAGAATAGGCTCAAAGAATAGTTTCTATTTAGTTTCCTGAGTCTATCGCCTTTAGTATTAATTATATTTCTAAGATGATAGTCGACAGATGTGGTCAATTCGCATAAAAAATAAGATTGGTTACTCGACGGAGAGGTAAGAGGCAATGTAAACCTTTGTTTAAGGATGGGGTGTTACTTATATTGTTAGAGTTGATCATCAAGATTACAAAATCGTTCTCACCAAGAGATTTTGTGATGTTAAATACGTTTTTTGTGATATCTACAAACTCTAAATGTGGATAAACGTGAGCTTTTATGGAGAACTTTATCATGTCGATGTATAATTCTAACACTTTTCTGAAACTTTTTGCATATTCGTCACCAATTATAATGATTTTCCGACAGCTGTCTGAGGCATTACGTTTCGGTGATCCACCAGATGGTACTATATCGATTATTGGTGCATCATCGAATTCTTTTGAAGTTTGTCTTGCAGATTCTGCTGCTACTTCGCCGTCTAACTTGGGTATAGGGGAAACGATAGATGCACAGTGGGCAAAAGTCGACGCTGTTTGATGTTCGTTGAATTCATGTTCTATCGGCTGGCTTTTACACATATCGTTTGTCTTCATTTGGAAACTTGTGGCCCTAATATCATTCGCAACAGAAGGCTCTTCCATCAGAAGTGAGGTTGACAGTTCCTGCAGTGTACTGTTTTTTGAGGATAAATATACTAGTTGTTGCTCTATATTTTGTATTTGACGCTTGTAAGTCTGGATCTCGTCGTTGTAATTTTTTTCAATTTCAATCATATCATCCTCAAAAGCCAATGAGCGTTTTTTCATAGAGGCAATATATTTATCCTTCTCTATAATCTCTTGTTGTAATTCTCTTATTATTTCTTTGGTAGTGTTATCCTTCTCCATTTCTTCTTCACCTTTTCCTTGACATGTCGTACTACAGTATATCATATGCTTGGCAATGACGATTACGTCATTTCGTTTGTTGCAGCAACTGCGATGAAAAATTTGTTTACATGTTATGCACAAATAGTTGGATAGCTCTTTGGTTCTACAACATTCGAAATAATTCGGCATCTTCGTTTCTTGTATTGTATCGATAAGTAACGTTACAACGAAATATTGTACTGTGTCCTATTATTCGTGTCGGTTGGAAACTAGGTTTTATAGGAATATCACCTCGACTATATGTTTACTTTACGTACGTAATATCTGGTGTATGTATTGTTGGCAGTGGTTTTCGGGTTATAAAAAAAACTGTGTTCCTTCTGCTGTTACTCGATAACTAGATGTGCAATCATACCTCTTCATACGAGAACTTTTTACTTGAAGAGTCTGAAGTGTGTATGCATTCACTTTGTACACAAACTGTTCGAAAACACGAAATGTTTACACAACTTTTTACTACAAACTGTTCGAAAACACGAAATGTTTACAAAACGAGTGACATGATTTTTCATGACGTACATGTCATACAACATCCAAAAAACATAATATCTTATTTTCGGAAATTATCGCGATTATAATAATACTTCTTCGCCAATGGGCGTGGGAAGTAGAAACATACGTTGATCATGAAATATCCTTCAATACTTTTGTTACACCCGGTATAATGGTCATGGATTGTTGCATTCAAGAAAAGAACTAATAACACTGGACAACAAATTTTAGTTTTTTAATTGTATCTTGTGGGAAAAGTGCACTTCTTTGTTAATTTTGGGGCGCTGAATCAAAAAATGACAATGAAATAAAAAAATTAGTTGCGGTTTAGAAAAAAAACTTTTATTTTTAAGGATATATTAAAAAAAGTAACAAGATTCATATACTTATAAGAATCACTATATGCGCTGTCTTTTTGCTGTTCTTTTATGGATCGTTTCTGGAGAATCTCTACCAAGAGTCCAACAGTAGTCTGCAAACATGGAAGGATTCCACTTTCCCTGGTACCTTTTTTCCATTGTTGAAATATCCTGATGAAAAGTTCGCCGTGCTCATCACTTACGGCTTCGCAATTGTCAGGAAAAAAGTCCAGGTGTGAGTGTAGGAAATGTATCTTAAGAGACATTATTACAGCCCATCTTTTAATACGATGACAGCATATTTTTGACAAGGGTTTTATAGTTGTCAGCTTTTCTATTTCCCAAGAAATTAGTGACCACCAGACGGAAATCATTCCAAGCAGTTTTTTCAATACCTGTTAAAGTGTTTTCAAACTGTGTATCTTTCAAAATATTTCGAATCTGTGGCCCAACAAAAATACCTTCTTTAACCTTTGCCTCACTTAGTCTTGGAAATTTCTGACGCAGGTATTGAAAAGCTGACCATCTCTATCTAATGCCTTGACAATGTTTTTCATTAGGCCCAACTTGATATGCAGTGGTGGTAATAAAATTTTTATCGAATCTACTAATGGCATATGCTGTACATTTTTTTGACCCGGCTCTAGGAATTGACGAACAGGCCAGTTTTGTCTGGTGTAATGAAGTGCCTTTGCCCGACTGTTCCATTCACACAAAAAACAGCAAAACTTTGTGTAGCCTAGCTGCAGCCCAAGTAAAAGTGCAACAACTTTCAAATCGCCACAAATATGCCATTGGTGCTCATCGTATTTTATGCATGTCAATAGGTACTTCATATTGTCATATGATTCTTTCATGTGAACTGCATACCCTACAGGAAGAGATGGTAAAATATTTCCAATATGCAATAACACTGCCTTTAAACTCAATGTTGAACTGTCTATAAACAATCTCCATTCTTCTGGGTTATAGTTTATATGTATTTAAAGCCGCCAGTAAGCCGTTAATGTTACTGCAGAAAACCAAGTTATTCTCCATATTGAAAAATGGTTCTAAGCCTTTGTGACGTTTACGAAAAACACATACCGAAATATCGTCTTCTAACAAGTTCCACTGCTGCAGTCTTGATCCAAGTAACTCTGCCTTACATTTTGGAAGTTCTAAATCTCTTACAAGATCATTTAATTCTGACTGTGTTATTTTGTGCGGTTGGTGGCATGACGTGCTCGGTATAAAATCAGGATCTCTTGACGTTGATGGCATATCTTCTTCCTGACGAATCACTCGATCGCCATGATCTGATTCGTTTTCTGATTCGCAAGTGTAGGATTCTGGGGGTTTTGGAATAGGATTTTCGTCACTGTGAGGCACAGGTCTCATCGCAGATGGTATGTTTGGGTAGTTAACAACCGATTTTTTTTTCTTGGACATACCTGTGGCTTGTCCAACACAAGGTACCATGCAAAAGTAACAATCATTAATATGATTTGTAGGCTCTCTCCAAACCATTGGGACAGCAAAGCGCATAGACCGTTTTTTGCCATTTAACCAGCTCCTCAGACTTGAAGCACATGTATTACAGCAGATATGGGGTGCCCACTGTTTGTCTTGATCACCTAGTTTACAACCGAAATAAAGCATATGCCTTTGTTATTAGTGCGTCTCTGAGACGCAAAAGTCACATGACCACACACGTAACAAAACTGTTCTGGATTGTTTACACACTTTCGAGACATCTTGCATGAACGCTGTCAGCTAACTGAGGAAAAAATGGCTAATATAAAACAATATAATGTACACGTATGTATAACGTAACACAATCATGCCGATTACATCATCTTTCCTTGCCGAATATAAAAATGTAGCACGTGCATTCTGGTGAATTACAGTATACGTATATTAACACTGTCACAGCAGGAACACATATAATTACCGTATCTCTAAAACTTGAGCTAATATTGAAAAAATAAGTTTCATTCCGGTTTTAGCACTTCAAAAATAGTAATATTTTGTTGATTTTATTTAGGATATTTTTTGGCTGTTGATCAGTGTAATAGCGTATTTTAGAATTGGCAAAATGACTGAAAAAGCAACGAGATGAATAATAAGTACTTACTAGAAAACATATAGCATAACCTATGCAGATCCAGATCACTGTGGCAAAAAAATATCCGTGTTGTCCTTGCAAGTACAACTTCAAGGGAACGTATGCCACTCGAATCAGAACCACTTGCACTGTTATAACAAAAAATAACGTCTGGAGCGAAAAACAATCAGTTATTAGCTTGATAGTATTACAAAGCTTTTCGTGGTTATTTTGAAGGATCCTCAAATCGTTGTAAGGTATCACTTTCGAGTATAGACGACTAGAGATCCATATTTTCCAAATACCCCTATTAAACTGTCGGATAGGATGATGCAGCGCTTCAACATATAAAATGTACTGGATTATGATCAGTGAATTCATCAGACTGCTTACATACCACGGGATCCAATGTTGTAAGCATCCCAGAGGTATTGCAAGCAAGATAGTGTCAAAAATAATCAGTGATATCAAGAAAAGCTCAGCAAAAAGCAGTAATCCGACGTCTTCATTCCGACTGGATCTATAGAGTTCTTGCAAATAATCTATCTCTAATTTTAGCTTCGCTATTGGTTTTCGTTTAACTGACATTGCTTGAACAACTGAGACTATATTTGTTGATGTTGACGCAAAGACAACCACAAAGTCCAGAAGTATATGAATTTGACGTTCAGGAAAATCATCTTTGGTAATACTGAATCGGAAGTGTAGAATGATACCTGCAATTTGGACTATGCACAGTAAAATGGCAATAAACAGTTGTATATGTTTAAATTTCTCAGCTCTTGTTGGCGAAAGACATAAAATAATACAAAAATAATCAACGTGTTTGAAGATGTTCATGGTATGATACTGAGGAATACTGAATATGGTATATTTGGAGCACTCCGAGTAATTGACGTTTTAATTTGTACATACGTCTATAATCTTCATGAGTGCTTTGATGAATTATGCAGTGTTACCAAAGCAAACAAAAGTTTGTTCCACATGTAAAGTGATAACAGCTGTACTGGAAACCATTGTTTTCCATCTTACTCTCGCTCATTGCTGGAGTTTTGCAATTACATACCAGGTGACTTTTTAGTATCCAAGCTGTCGCTAACTCCGTTATTACAAAATATATCTATATATTTTTAATTTTTATTGGAATGTTTATACATAAAAATATAAAAACGACAACATTCCAAAAGGAAAGAGGATTGGCAGGGCCATTTTTCACCTCGCCCTAAAAAGTTAACTTCATGTAGCACTTTTTCCATCTCATTTCTGAAGTTTTGGATGGAAGGTGCTTCAAAAGGTTCTAAATGATCGTTTAGTAGATATGGTGCTGTGTAAGTAAAACATTTTTTGAATTTAGATGTTGTATGAACTGGAATATTGAAGTATTCATTGTTGCGTAAGGAAACTTTACGGAGTGAACATCTCTTCTCCAAAGCAATAAACAGATATCTGGGTAATTTGTATTTTAAAACTTTATATAGTAGAGTTCCATACTGAAGTAATACACGATACTTGAATTTTAAAAGATTTTCTCTCACATAATATCCAGTAATATGTTCTTGTATATGTATATCTTTGAAACAGAATATCATGCAGCAGTTTTGTAATACTTGAATTTTGTGCTTCATTTCTTCCGTCAGAAAATTATAGTATACTGTAGCGCCATAGTCTAGGTGAGTGAGGATTATTGCATTGGTAAGCCTCAATTTTATATCGCTGGTTAAAACATGTTTGTATCTCCAAAGTGACTTGTATTTACAATAGCATACTCGAAGTTTATTAATGACATGGTTCTTAAAACTTATATTTGTGTCCAACAAAATGCCTAAATTCTTAGTCTCCTCTACAATTTCAACAGATGTATCACCTAAAACAATGGCTGTACTCATCAATCCTTTAAATTTTGAAATATTTAACCTAGAACCAGTGCAGCAAGCTTTAGTTTTTGTGGGATTCAGTTTCAAACAATAATTTTTTGAATAGTTTGCAATCATTTCTAGATTTACATTTAACTCTTTAATCAATAAATTAACTTAATTTGGCTTGCAAGCTTTATACATTTGTACATC